AGATCACACAAACTCCAGGGAACTGTTGAAGACAAGAGGAAAAAACAGAATGAAAGAAAAAAGACAAGAATAGATCAACCTATCAGCAATAGGAAAGCTAGAAACTGTATTCACTTTCCTTTGAAACTAATGATGATCGAGAGAAGGAAAAAATGAGAAGAAAAGAAAAAGAAAGAAGAAATCTGAATTAGGGCCAGAACAGGAACAAAAAGGGAGATGAAGAACAATGTGGGAGAGCAAGAAAGAGAGAAAGAAAAAGAAGAAAAAAAATTTGGAAAGAATAGAAAAAAACAAAAATTAAAAATAAGACAAAAAGATAATTTTGAAAATAACAAATAAAAAATAAAAATGAAGGGGCTCCTTCAGGGTATGTCTCTGCTGTCACAATAGACAACGTGGGCAGTAGTGTACAGATATAAGTCAGTGAGTCTCAGCAAGCCAGTCCCAGACCCATGAAATTCAAGCAGATTTCTGGCTGCAAGTCCCAAGTTGAGCTCCCTGTCCTCCTGCAGGGTTGAACTCTGCAAGGCTCTACTGCAGGTTCCAGCTACCCTTCCCCTGAAGACGGTCCAAGTTCTGATGGGAGGTGGTGATCCCTCCAAATTACCAACTATAGTGGTCTGGTGTGCCTTTATTGAAGAGATACTCTTCACTTTTCCAGTGGGCTTCAATTTTCATCAAGGAGCCTGAGAGAGGCCCTCTTTCTGTTGTTCACTTCTGCTATATCTTCTGCAGCTCAGCACAATGGCCTTTATGACCTCCTGTGCCTCTGTGGTGTGGATCCAGGTACCAGGGCAGCTAGAAGGCCAGAGGCAATGGGACAGGGGGCTATGGGGGCAGGGGGTGGGTGGTGATGCTGCAGGAGCACACATGGCTCTTCTCCTCACCTGTCCACCCCTGGCTGGGAGGCCCCTTGATTTGTTTGACTTGAGGGTTGGGTAAGCATGTGGACTCAATTTTTCCTGTTATATGAGTAATAGTGTCACTCTCATGATCTTTACTTCCTTTCAGTCCTATGACTGGAAATCAAATGTGCCCTTAAAAATTTTGTTTATGATTAGGCTTTGGTTTGGTTTTGTTCTATTCATGGGAGAACCCAGAGGTGCTTTACCAGTGAGCAATACTCTCAGATCTTTTGAGTCTTTATGTTAAAATGATCTTGCTAAGTTGCCCAGGCTGGCATTAAACTTTCTGTCCTTCTACCTCAGCCTCCCCATTTGCTAGGATTACAAGCATGTTTCACCATGTCCAAATCACAATGGGACATTTTTAATGGCTGTGTCACATTCTGGACACAGGTCCTCGGCACAAACTCAGGGTCCTTGTGGAATCCATCTCAGGATTCATGTGTGGAGAATCACTGTGCCAGGCTGGACATTCACAGCCTCAGGTTATTTCTCCATGACCAGCTGGGTGGGTGGTATTATTTCACTATTTTACCATTTTACTATTGAGAAAAGTTGTGGGAGCTTATTTTGATATGGAGATGAACAGTTATTTTTGAATGAAAGAATAAACATGAAAGCCAATTTTCAACTCATGGGAAATAAATTTACTTCCATATGAAATCAGATAGCTTTACTCTAAAATGAGATATTTATTACAGTGATTTCTAGAGTTTTAGCACCTTTTTACCTTCACTGAAGGCTGAGATCTCTGGATTGTTTCCACACCTAGGAGTTTTGGGTTATGCCCTGAGTGGATGCCATCTCTTCATCCAACATACCCTACATCACAGGATCTAAGATTGTGGACTTATGTATTGTGTAGCAGGGAGCATTTGGAAAATAATTGAGAAACATTTCATCTTGTTTCAGTGATAACAAGTTTCTCAATGGCATCCACACAGACCACAACCCAAAAACTGAGCATTAATCTTGGTATTTTTTTGTTTATTTATTCATTTATTCTATTTAGTTATGTGGTAATGTGGACTGAACCCCAAGCCTTTGTTCTCAGGGACATCTCAATCCTTTTTAATTCTTTTTAAATTTTGAAATATATTGTTAAATTGCCATGACAGGAGTTGAGCTTGAGGTTCTCCTGTTCCAGCCCCATAGAATGCTAGGATTTAAGTGTGAACACCATACATGACTTTTTAAATTTGTACTTTTGACTTAATCTTTGCTATAATTTTGTTAGAAGAATTCAGACTTCATGAAAGTGATTCATGTGTGTGTGTATGTGTGTGTGTGTGTGCGTGTGTGCGCGTGCGCGCATGGATGCAGACAAGCATGTATGTGTATATGTTATCTCATCTCTCCTGAGGTGATGAGTGGTTGATTTTTTGGATTAGACAAAAATGCCCCAGCATCATCTCTGGAACCTAGTTCTCAAAGTGCCCCTCAGGGGTGAATATCAGTACTGCATCATTTTAAATTGCTCAGTGGGTCCGTAGTTTAGTTATTCTTGGAGTGCTCAAGCACCCTCTTTGTATTTTTTCTAACCTGTGCAACTGAGACAATAGGTTTGAATCATGGACACTGTATGAATTCTTTTGAATTAATGGCTCTATCACCAGGGTTGTAGATATAACTAAACAGATTAGGAAACAGGTATTTAAAAATAATTGGATTCATTATTCCTACCTCTGAGTATTTACAAAGAATATTTGAAGTCAGTTTGCTGAAGTGATGCCTGAACTACCATGTTCATTATAATACTATTCACAATAGCCAAGTTCAGGAATTAGTCTAAATGTTCTTTTCCAGATGGAGCAATAATAGTGTGTAGTGAGTGTACTCAATGGAATACTATTCTGTTTTAAAAATTGTTATTTCTCTAACATGAATGAAACTAGAAAACATAATCCTAAGCAAAACAATCCAACCTCATGAAAACAAACACCTCAGTTTCACAAGTGTATGTGGATTCTAAAACAATTGAACTTTTAGAAAATAGAGAGTGGAATGGTGGTCATCATAAGCTGGGGGATTACCATGAGGAGATCATGGGCAAAGGGTACATCATCTCAGCTACTCAGGAGGAAGAAGGCTTTTAAAAAAATTTTTGAGATTCATAGTAGAGTTTGATTAGTAATAACATATTTCAAAATTGCTGAGAGTAAATTCAAATATTTTCAACATATATAATGGTAACTATTTGAAGTGATAAATATCACCTTAATTAAATGGGTTCAATTTTTTTCTCTTTGTATTCATAAATCATAATTTCAGTTTTACCCCATAAATATGTAATTTTTAAACTTACAACTAAAAACTTAAAATAAGTCATCAATAAATAGATATGACAGATATACATTCATTACCTTGTTGGAAGGAATTGGAATACATTAAATGTTTTGCTTGGTTTGGCTTGGTTGGGTTGTTGGTATTTTTCTTTTTTTTTGTTTTTTGTTTTTTGTTTTTTGAGACAGGGTCTTGCTATGTAGTTCAGACTGGCTTTGAACTCACTATGCATCCCAGGCTGACCTCAAACTCATGGGGTTCCTCCTGCTTCAGAGTGCTGGGAGACTGGAGTGCACCACTAGGTTTGGCTAAATGTTTTTAAAATAAAAACTATTTAGTATAAAATAAATTATTTTAAGATTTAGAAGAAATTTACTTTCGACTTTTTCAGAATCATAAATATTACTATTCTATTAGATGTGAGACCACAAAGTAAACTGACTCTTCACTATGTCCCATGTTTCTGAAACTAGCTTTTAACTTTACCAAAAGTTATTCAGCTGATTTTCTACTAGGCCCAGCTACTTTCATTCATTTCAACTATTGAATAAACATTTACATTATAACAGCCTATACTTGCAATTATTCATTTTTCAGGTATTAAAATAATTGAGTCTCTATAGGCTCTTAATTTTCCTTTGTTTAGCTGAGGTGTTCACTGGAGTTCATATATTTTTAAAAATTTCTCTTGCTTTTATGTCATTTAAATAATACACCATGTCATCTCATTTTCAGTTTCAGCTAACAACCTCCATGTCTATTAAGTTGTTTATTTATGAAGAAAAGCTGATTCCTATTTCAAGAATGTTAGCATGCTTTTATAAAACCTGTATTTCTCTCAAGTGTACATTAACTGAGCCCTTTTCTTTTTTATAATTAACATCACTTTGTTTCTTTTTTGACTACTTGGGAAACCACACAGGAAATGAGTTGTCCTATGTCAAGGATAATTATTAAAGCTTTGCTCATGGGTATGTGATGGGTGTCTGTAATAAACTACTGAGTGAGGAGTCTCTTCTCTTTCATTTTTGTTCCATGTTTTACTTTCTTCTTTACTGAATTTTAACACCAAAATGATAATTGAGAATTGAAAATTTAGAAATGGTTAAGTTTGATTTAGCTTGCTATTTTTCTCTTTATACATTGGGAATGATTTAGAAATGACACCCTGCATTTTTGTTAAACTGAGAGGTGATTAGTATTTTTGTGATTTATTTATTAGCTCAGGTTGCCATAATGAAACACCACAGATTGGGTGGCTTAAACCACAGAAGGTTTATTTTCCCTCAGTTCTGACATCTGAAATCTGCAGTCAGGATTCTGGTCCAGTAGGATCAGGGTCCCTTAAGGTCCCTGTCCTGGCTTCAGGTGACCACCTTCTCCCTGTGGCCTCCCTTAGCAGAGCATGTATGCTGTTTCTTCCCCTTCTAAAACCACTAATCTCATTTTGAGGACTCTAGTCTCTTGACCCCATCTTACCTCTCAAAAGACCTACCTCCTACACTAAGGGTTCATCCTTCAACACGTGTATTTTAGAGCACAGTTCCACAGTTTGGTGTACAGAAACCTAAGATCATGCATTTGAAAATATGTTATAATATGGAGTCGCAGTCACTATGGGAACAGATAAGGGACCTCGTGGGTCACGCATATGCTTCCCTCTCTGCTTTAGCCAGGACAGTTGTAATATATGTACGTTATGTATAATCTGTTTAATGTTATATCATTTGTAGAAAGAGTTTTGTGGGTAAAATATCGACATAAGTGTGTTGAATTGACTGTGGTGCGTTTGTCCTGGTTCTATCCTGGCAGAGCCTCAATACTCTTTGTGCTGACAATCTACCAGAGTTTCAGCTTCTTGGCGGCAGTGGAAACATTCGTGTTAGAGAAGAAGCTCTTTATGTGCGTAAGCTCTGTTCTGGGAAGGGCATCTATGGCTGTTGGGCTAACTAGTCACTTCCAGAATTGGGCCAAGGATTTGATCTCAAGGATTATCTTTTTCTCTCCTTTCATTTCTTCCCGTATTTGCTTAATTTACCAAAATAAGTTGTATATTTTATCATGTACAATACAGTACTAGATTTTGAAATAAGTATGGGAATGACCAATGTTAACAGAAACAAAAAGGCATGAGTGTGGTGGAAAATCTAAAGCATGTAGGCCTTACAACCATAGGAAAGGAATTTCAAGACTAGGATATAGTTCATAAGTCCCAGTGCTGCACCAGAGAAAACAAAGGATTGAGAAGTATTTTTTGTTTGTTTGTTTTCAGCAAATAACAGGTCATGATGACCCTTGCCAAGAAAAGTTTAGGAGGCTTGGTGTAGGAGTAGGGTCAGCAGCAAATTGCCATGGGAGGCATAGTCGACAAAGAATTCACCAAGTTCAGTCTTCAGTGGGTAGAGAAATACAGAAAGCCAGAGAGCGGGTTTCCACTAAAAACCAGTCTGATTTTGTTTCATGTGTTTTTCAAAGATGGAAGAGATTTGCCTATACTTATATGTCAAGTAAAGGAATCATCAGAGAAAGAAGAAATGAGGATAATGACAGTTTTGGAATTATGGGAGACTGATGTCATGAGGAAGAGGAAAGATTAGGATTTGGTTGCTGTCAGACCTGTTTGTTGGGTGTGACACTAAAAGTGTGTGATCACTAAAAGTCTATTTCTTTTCCTAACATGAGAGTAGCAAAAGTAAATAAAGTTTAATGTTTTGAAGCTGTACTGGGAGCCTTAGATAATAACGTCCCCTTCATAATCAGAAGTGGGGAGAAATAAATCCTTCATCAGACCTGAGATTAGCCCCCGAAGTACTGTTCTTCACAGAGAGCCAGCATCAGAGGAGAGGCAGTGTCTCTGAGGAGCACCTGGAGGGAGGCTTTAGGGAGGTGTGGACAGCTGCAAGAGGGAATTCAGTAGTAAGAGATGTCACAGCAAGAGCCTTCTGGGGCTGATCTCCAGGGGGGCTGGCAGCTGGGGTGAGGGGAGTCTGGAGGATGTGGAAAGCTGGTGTGTTGAACCTCAGGTGGCAGCAGTCTGTACAGCCTCTCGTCTGTGCCCTCTGAAACTAATCTGAGATTTATGTGTGTTTGTCTTCTATAGGCATGAGTATATCAGTGGATACTACAGACTGTCCTCTTATTTCTTTGGAAAATTACTATGTGATTTACTATGCAGGAAATTGTTACCAAGCATTATATTTAATTGTATATTGTACTTCATGTTAGGTAAGTAACAAGACAAAAAGAATGTGCCTTTAGTCTTAAATCTGAGGTAAAGCCAGTTTATAGAAGCATGAAAGCATTTTTATGGTTCTGAAAACTACAAACCAAGCCAGGAGCTAGGGAAGCATTAATCTACTGTGCATGCTTTAAAGTGGCTATACAACGTAGATATTTTTCTCAAGTCTTGTTCCACACCAAACTTTTTTTGTTTTGTTTTTGTTTTTTGAGACAGCATTCCACTATGTAGTTCAGGGTGGCCTTGAACTTACCATGTAGCCTGAGTTAGCCTTGAACTTACAGCAATCCTCCTGCCTCAGCCTCCAGAGTCCTGGAATTACAGGCATGTGTCCCCATGCCTGGCAACCAAAATTCAAATTATTTATGCAACTACATTTTGGTGACAGATGCTGAGTGTCATGTACAACTATGGAAGAATTTATAAATCTATTTGAGACTGTGCTAGAGCCACTGGAATATTTATTGCTTATCTATCCATACTTTTATCTATATCTCTGTACATACATCACTATATAGAAATAAAGTATAGATAGGTAATATCTATTGTTACATAGACAATAAATCAATATACATTCTCTCATGATTAAAATATGAGATTTGGAGGTTTATTAATGTAATAAAAATACTTGTTATAGGAATGGAGACAGATTCATTTGTGTCTTTTTCTCAAGCTTCACCTCCCAAGCTCATTACATCAGTGTATCCATATATTTCCCTGACACACACATATACATAGCAACCTTATCTATTTTTGACAGTACATTACAGGATAAGAACCACTGAAAGAGCTTAAAACTTCCATTTTTTCAAATAAGAAGTGCCTCATAAAGAATTAAACATGTAATTCATACACCCCTCAACTCTGGACTCTTGATTGATAGTTGTGTGGCTATACCAAAATCTTCAGACTGTGTGACCCAGAGCACTGGCTCATTGTAGTTTAGAGAATAGTTTATTAAACTTAACTTAGCTGGATTCCCAATCACAGAGTCATGTGATGCTTTGTCAGGGGACTTAGGTTTTAGAGATACAGTCTGCTCTTCCAGGATATTAAGACTTTGAGAGGCTGTGGAACCCTAACCCCAGTCTCCTCACTAGTGCAGTCACAGCACACACCGAGTGCTGTGGAGTTGCCTGGATAAGAGAGTGGCTATTGCTGAGTTTTCTGTGAGAGGCGAAGGCAGAAGAATTCTGGCCCATTGTGTTGTCTGGAGCTCTCAATCTCAGGAACTCAGAAATTGTTCATAATCACACATGAGGGAGCACAGGGTGTGTGGAAAAATGTTTTTGCAGTAAGTGTAAAAAGGAAAACAGTGTGATAACTTTAGGTAGCTACATAGAAGCAAACAACACAATTGGTGACCCAGGATAGTTGTATAGGGAGTGACTTTTTAGATTCTGACATTGATTTCTCGGAATACTATAGTTTTACATACTCAGTAAACAATTGTACTTACACAGTAACCTAGGCTGTTGAACTGAGCCCTTCTTTTCTTTCTAAGGTTTGAAACGAGCAGTGGGAGCTTTCTTAATCATGATGTTTTCCCTTATGATGGTGTCTTGTTCAGCCCATTTTTTGGCACTGGCCATTGCAGCAGGTCAGGGTGTGGTGTTTTTAACAACACGTCTTATGGACATCTATTTTGTGTTTATGATGGTGAGTATGAACTGTCCTTCTCTGAGGGAATTTTCCCTTTTTTCTTCCTGCACATTTACCTGTCCTGTAAAACCTGCTATGGATTGTGTAGATTCTTTTAAGGGGCCATAATATAGTTAATAATTAGAGAATGCACCAGCTGTCCTCCTTGATCTTATACAGGGTTTTTTCTTTTTTTCTTTTTTTTTTTTTTTTGCTGTTGTTCTAACATAGTATAACTTAGCTGACATACTTATTTACTAACTAAGCTTACTAATAAGCTTTTAAAAGATACTTATAAGTGACATTTTATAAAATCTTGATAAATTAGAACTTCCAAACCCAGAAAAACTAGGATTCACCAGTTCCCTCATACAAATTCCAGGTTACCTGCCTACATTTCATACTAGTGTTAGAGAACTTCCAGCTATTTAACCACAGTGGAGGTAATAGGTTTGGGTTCACTACCCTCCTAGGTGAAAGTGAAGCTCTGCGAAATGTGTAACATTGTAGGGGATGGGAAGTCTGTCTTGGGAGCCTCTTGTATTTTGAAAAGGAGTGTTTTTAAAATACTGGAGAATTCCAAAGTCTGTGGTACCAGGTTATCTCCTCTCTGGATTTCTGGCAATCTCATATCAGTATATTCCTGCTTATCTTTTTTTTTTCTCAGTACCAGGAATCAAACTCAGGACCTTGTGCTTGCCAGGCAGGCATGGTGCCACTGGGCAAAATCCCTGGCCCCTTGCTTATCTTTTTTTAAATAGTTAGTGCAAATTTGACATGATCATAAACTTTGCACTCACATAAATGAATCAAAAGATAAATAGAACCACTTGCCATAGATTTTCTCCCTGCTATATCAAGTATACAGGAATGCTTAGCCTATTAATACATATTCTACTAGAGTAGGAGTAAATACCTTTTAGTGATATCTAATTAGCATGTGCTTTTGCCAAAGTATGGTTCTTCCTTTTCTGAATTTTGCAACAATGTAGATAAGCCTTCTTTATATTTCTATACTGTCTTCCAGTAAAGAAAATGTCCTTCAGTAAATATAAATCGTTTGTTTGATTTATATGATATTTTGATTATTTTGTAAAGGTTTCCACATAGAACTTTAAAATCAGTCAAAAAACTATATTTTACTCAAGCTGCGTTATATACTAAATACCTTATTAGCTCAAGTTTAAATATATTCAGATATGCCATCAGCATTGTCATTGTTTTGTATACCTCAGTACACCCAGCACTAGTTGGGACAAGTGTTAGGTAATCCTCATAGTGTTTCTTGTTCATGTTGAATAATCCTTCCTTCCATCTCCATTGTGATACTGTTTTGAGGGTAGATTTAAATGAAGGTATTGACCAAGTTTCCTGTTGTTCTTTTTCTTGTCCTGCTGTTTTTCCTTCCTTCACTTTGGGTTACCTGAAATCTGCATTCTGAATGGCAAGTTATTCTGAAAGTCATGAATGTAGAATGTAAAACCTTGTAAATAACAAATCTCATTTTTGTATAGAATTATAGAGTAGCCTCTGATATTCAAAATTATTCTGGTGTGTTCTTAGATTTCCAGGATAATTAGGAGGATCAGATAGTGGTGGTGAAGTTAGAATAGTCAGTACGGTTGCCCCTTTGTGTCCATGGCTTCCACATGCAAAGATTCAACCAATCACAGATCAAAACTATACAAAACAAAAATTGTATCTGTGCTGATACAATGTGGAGTTTTTCTTTTCTTGTCATCATTCCCTAAATTATTCAGTACAAACAATTTTCGTAGCATTTACATTGTATTAGGTACCACAAGAAATCTAGAGATCATTGAAAATATACAGGATATGTATATTTAAAGTATAAAAGATAAACATGGATCACATGGAAATACTATACCATTTAAAAATAAGGAACTTGAGCATCTGCAGAAGCTGAGAGGTTCCTGGAACCAGTGGCACTTGGACACCAAGAGATGACTTGCTTTTCTTCCCCAGGACTGAGGATTGAACCCAGAGACACTCTACCACTGAGCCATTTCCTCAGGCCTTTTTCATTTTTTATTTTGAGACAGAGTCTCACTAAATTGCCTGAGTAGGACTGTAATTTACGATTCTACCTCAGCTTCCCATAGAGCTAGGCCATACAGGCCTATGCTACCATGCCCTGCTATGACTGTACTTCTTAATCTTCCATTGTGTGTAGTTATGAAAAATATAAGGACCTACTGTTGATATTTAAGGGTCTTCCAAGTAAATGGAATCAATAATATATCATGGGTGGTATTGACTTCATCTGAAACTACAGGAAGCCTTAGCTGTGCAGGGTTATTCATATGCAAAGGAGGGAGACGGGAGACGAGTGTTTAAAGTGGAAGTAACTTCTAGAAATAGTTCTAGTGGAAATGTTTCAAAGGTCATAGAGTTCTTGAAGTGGGTCTTTTTTAGAATTTTTCATAAAATAATTGGACTGGTTCTGACTTGTGCTTTTTTTCTGTAGATTTTTTCAGGTATCACAGTAAATCTTAGAACCATGGCACCTCGACTTGTGTGGCTTCAGTACTTCAGTATTCTGTATTATGGCTTCACGGTAAACTATCCTTAACTGTCATCCTGACTTGGTTTCCAAGCTAAAGCAAACCAAAATAAAGCCTAACCATGTCTTTTCCCCAGGCATGGGCTGTGGCCATCTCCCATTGAAGAATTTTCTTTCAGGAGCAATGGATGAAAATTTACTATTGGTACAGGGAGCCCTCCGGGGTTTTCCCCAATGACTTTATTGTTTGAGGAAGATGTAGGAAATGGAGAAATCTCATAGTAAAGGAGAAAGATTGGCTTATTGATGAAAGAAATATTGTGTTTCAGTTCAACAAGGAAATTAATGAGAGGAGGAAGACTACAATATGTAGCTTCTATTGAAAAAAACATTAGAACAGAAATAAAGACCGTATAATATTCAGAGCTATATTGCCTTTACCAGGCTAATCAACTTGAAAGAAAGCTATCTATGTCTTTCTATAGTGTAACCAAGCACAACTGGTTTTGATAAAAATAAACAAGAACAAAACGTCTTTGCCATAAATTATACTCCTTTCATTTTAGTATTTAAGGGAGATCCAGAGATCTCCCTTCTTGGCCAATCAGAAGCAATATCCCAAATCTAGGCCTTGAGATTCCCAGAGAAAATAACTAGTTGTTTTAGTGAGTGAGACAAAGCCTGTGAATATGAAACTTACTGTTTTTAGAAATAATATATAAGGACTACACTAGAGGACATAATTGTGCTACTTCTTTGAGAACTTTTTGAAATTCAAAGCTATTTACTTTGTCCTATTCCCACATGTGTTACAGGCTTTGCAACATAATGAATTTTTGGGAGAAGACTATTGTGTAGGACTCAATACAGAAGAAAGCAGTAGCTGTCCCAACTATGTAATGTAAGTTTGTGTTCAGTGTCATAATGCATTTGTTTATTACTGTGGTGTGATGTAGAATGATCTCCAGATGCAGAGCTGGTACAGGTCCTTTGAAGGTCAATAAATCATTCTTGACCTGTGTTTTCTTAATCTTAAAGTGAATCATTGTATACTAATGCATGTGAACATGCTGTATTTGTGTTATGCTGCAGTCAACATGTATTTAATGTACAGAAATATTTTGGGCCCTTTGAAAGATTATTTTCATGTTTTGATTGTGGGTTTGAGTTCTTTTCAGAACATTTCCATTTAAACTGAACTGTTTTCAGTTTAGCTTTCAGTTTAGGGTTTACACCTTCTGCACTAAATGGATTATATGCTACCTATGAGCCGAAAACATGGATGATAGTAAGACTCAAAAGGGCAGTATCAGTTAAACAGGGTGATCATTAACTCTGCCAGGATTATTCTGCACTTGCCTTTCCTTCACGTTTTTGGAAAACACCATGAAATCAAAGGATACACAGCTGTGTGTGTGTGTGTGTGTGTGTGTGTGTGTGTGTAAGCCAACTCGGAATACTCCCTATCACAGGAGTATCATATCTTCTAAAGAAAGAAACACATATTTCAGTAAGTTGAGAAGGAAATCTTACTTTTAAATAGTATCATTAAAACAAATAACAGGCTTTAATAAAATTAGATCTTGTTTTAAATTTTAATATTTTCCTTCTCTATTATTCTTGTTAATATTTGATTTTGACACATAAATTAATAAGAGAAAAGATAATGCTGGCATCCTAAATATCTCAATCATTCCAATAGTACTTAAATAATTCTTAGCAATAAGACAAATATCCATGTTTCATTCTTAACAGGAAAAGCCTGTTATGAAGAATGGTTTTCCTTACTCAGCCCCCTTCCTCTGGCTTCATCTGGGTGTAGTATCTTTGTAACACAAGGTCATTGCCGGCCTCTGGTCAGGAGGAAGTGGACAGGAAAAGTGGGAACAGATGGTGAAGAGTCACCACAGGCTTCATCCATGATTACTCAAGCTCATGCTAACAAGGGGAAGAATCTAGCCACCCTTACAACACAGAAAAGCTATTGCTGTTTTTAGAAATGCTAAATTTAAAATTCTTCCAAGAGAAGGACAGAAATTGTAGCAGGCAATAATTGTGGCTATGTTAGATGTTTTCAGCACCAGGTACTTTTCTAACCTGTGGCAGGACTCTCCATCCTGCTCTGCTCCAGCTGCTCCTTAATGTTTGAGTCTGATCCTGGATGTTCTGGCAATGCTCTGTGATTAGTGTCTGCAGTGCTCACTGCCATCTTAGTGTTAGAGCTGACAAAATGAGACTCTTGCCAGAAGCACTTGCTCCCCTCTGGTTCTAGTTTTAGAATTTATAGCCTGTGCTCTGGATGTCTGTCTTGAAGATGAGCAAAACTACAAGGAGTTTTTCCCATTTTATCAAGGCTGTAGGTGTTCTCAGTTAAGAGTAAGTGAAAGCATACTTGATAAATATTGGCTTTGAAGAGAGTAGCATTACAGTTAGGCAAACTAGAAATGTGGTTCATAATATGATTCTATAACCGTTGGGAAGTTCACGAAGCCTACTCTTTTATACGTGTGTGTAGATCCCTTTGGATTATTGGAAGAATTATCTAACCTGTTGGGTGAAAATTACTCAACATAGCATTGAGCAAAATTGCAAGCACACAATGTCTGTTAGCTATTACATATCAATGTTAATTATTAACTATTTGGTTAACCTATATTTTTCTTTATTAAAGAATCGTGAATATATTGATTACATTTGACAGCTACTAGGAATAAGTTATTTTCTTTTTGTGTTGAATTTCAGATGTACTGGTGAAGAATTCTTGACAATCCAGGGCATTGATCTCTCATCTTGGGGTTTGTGGAAGAATCATGTGGCTTTGGCTTGTATGATGTTCATCTTCGTCATCATTGCCTACATAAAATTGTTTTCTCTTAAAAAATATTCTTAAATTCCACTATAGTTTACCATGAGTTATTCTCACATTAAGAGGAGCACCATGATTTATTTTAATTCTGATGTGGATTTTATATTGTATTCTGTTCACTTGCTGTCAATTGTTGTTCAGCATGTTATTTTCTATAGATCTATTCAAACAATCATGAGAAACTGAAACTTATAAAAATAAATAAATATAAATAAATAAATAAATAGATAGATAGATAGATAAAAATAAAAAATTGAAATAACCCAAGCCAAAAACTAAGGATGTTACGTATTGCAAATTATTTCATCTTATCAAACAATATCTTCAAGGAAGCAATCTACTATAACTTACTGATCTGAAAAAGAACTGAATCCTAGAAAAAGAACTGAATCCTAGAAGCACTTAACAAATTACTAATATCTCTGCCTTCAGTTTCTTCGTCTTTTAAGGGAATAGGTAGGCTATTCCTAAACTAAACTAGTTGCCCTCTAGTTTTTATAGCCTATGAATCTATGGTATCCCATTGTTTCCTAAATAACAAGTGTATTAATGCTGTATTAGAAATAAGAAATCTAAAATATTTTCAAAAACCTCATGTTATTTCTAGTGTTAAAAACCATGCTGATAAAACATATCTCTGATCAGCTTATTAAGGATGATGACACTTATTCCTCTCCAGGGGAGCTGTATTATCTCAGGAAACTTGGCTGGGTCTTAGGCTATAGGTAGAGTACAGGGCCAGGGATCTGGTAATAATGGCACTTGTGTCATTCTGGGGCATTCTGGCTCTGAGAAGTCATTCCAGGAATAGCTCAGTAGTGTATAATAACTTGTGCATCAGATTTCCCTGAGGAACTTGACTGAGACTCTGCTGTCTGGTCCCTGCCTTGTCCCACTGCACCAGAACCTGCGCAGCGGCCTCCACAGAGAACTGACCACTGCGGGACTCGGTGATTCCCAAGATGCTTTCCACTTTAAAAGTTCTGGACTTGTTATTTGTTAATGGTTATATCTGTCTCTGTGCAGGTTCCTGTGCTACTTGTCCACCACATTATTTCCATATGTTGTTTTCACTCCAACCTTTCTGGTAATAGAGAAGCATTTTTTAAACTCCTTTTTTATGGAGAGGTAGTGTGACATGAAGTACAGTTCTGTGAATTACCTTAAAATGAAGACACGTGTATCCACCACTCCAGGTCAATAAGTGGAGTTTGCCCAACACACTGAAGCTCCTAATGGCCCTCTCCCAGTTACTGCTTTCTCTTGTTACCATGGGTTGTTCTGAAATGATGCTGTGTGTTCCTCTCTGTTGCTCGAATCAGAGCATAATATGGCTCTTGTGTGTACAGGTGCAGACTTGCATCTTCCTCATACTTTTTAATAAAATTTTAATTTTAAATAACTTTATGTTTATAGAAAGTTGCAAAGATACAGTGGAAAGTTCCCATGTGTACGTTTATATTTCTTTAATTTTAGCAAATGGTATATATGAAACAAAGCTAAGTAGTTACCACTGGACATTATTGTTAATTAAACTACACTTCTTTTTCATATGTCACCAATTTTCCACTCATTTCTTTTATTGTTCCAGGATTCAATTCAGGAGATCCCATGACATCCAGCTCCCCTTTTTATAAGCAAATTCTTACAAGAGTTAAGAGAGCTGACAATCACTAGTGGTCATTTTGGGGTTTCCTTCAGCCTCTCAGTGGGGACAAAGCTCTTATATTTAGATTTTTAAGGGAAAAATTTTTTCTATGATTAATGTATCATTTCATAAGGTATTGTCAGATTATCCTGGTTATTATGTGAACATAAAGGTCAATAGAGTTTTCCTGTTTGGGGTATTATTTCTGCTTTGCATATGATTGTGCCTTATAGTTCCCTATGTATACATTTCCTCATTACACAGAGAAAATATATATCTATAATTTATACACAAAATAAGTCTACAGGAACTAACAAAACAGCCAAAATTATTAATACCTCCTTAATAATTTACTAAGAATTTAAATATATACCATTATATTTATTTTGTTTATATTATAATTTACTTTTTATTATGGGTAAAAACATAAAATCTATCATGTTATCCATTTTAAAATTAATGAGCATTTGAAAATGTGTTTATTTTACATAAAATGTGAAATAAAATGTTGGTTTACAGAAATTCACTTAAGAATATGTATATATCCTTATGAATTTTATTTCCTTGAACATCAGAACTAATTTAGAAAAGGTTGAAGGTACTAATTTGGTATAAAATAAAAGAAAGGTAGTAAATGGACAGTAGTTGCTATTTATTCTACAGTTAATCTTCTTGCACAGTCAACCAAGACTGCTAAGAGGACTGCTGTAAGGAAAGGATCTTGAGTATGCTGGGGAAGGAGTGAGAAAAGAAAGAACAAGTGACACATGCCTGAAATCCTAGCAGTTGGGGGGCTGAGGCAAGAGGATCACAAGTTCGAGCCCAGCCTGGGCAATTTAGCAATTTAGTGAGAACTTGTCTCAGAAAATAAAAAGGGATTTAGTTCAGTGTGAAGCCCCTAGGTTCAATCCTCAGGATCACAAGTAAAAGAAGAAAGAAAAGAAAAGGGAAGAAAGAAAGAAAAGAGAAGTGGAGGAAGAGGGAGGGAGGGAGGGAAAAAGAGGGAGGTAGGAAGGAAGGGGAAAGAAAGGATGGGAGGGAAGGAGGGGGGAAAGAGAAAGAAAAAAGAAAAAGAGAAGAAAGAGAAAGAAAGAAAGAAAGAAAGAAAGAAAGAAAGAAAGAAAGAAAGAGAGAGAGGGAAAGAAAGAAAGAAGGAAGGGAGGGAGGGAGAGAGAGAGAGAAAGAGAGAGAGAGAGAGATGGGAAAGAGGAAGGGCATCTACCTCTTGCCCTGTCTTTGAAGCCATCCTCCATCAACTTAGATTTGATCTTTGTTAACATCCATAGCATCTATCTACATTTGAAGAGCAGCATTGCTGGTTTATGGCATCTTTTGCCTATTCCAGTGCTTTCTCAGTGGGCTGCCACCAAGCCTGCTGTAACAACAACCACTAATGGCACCTGGGCTGACAGCAGCAGGCACTGATGCTGAGCTCTCAGTGTGGGCCTGTGGTCCTGCCCTTCAAGGAGACCAGCCAGTCAGCAACTTAGTAGCAGATGACAACATGCAGTGATGGAAGGATGTTCCTGGTGTCTTTGGGTATCACTACATTAGGCTTTAGGTCCTAGTAGAGCTATTAACTTTACAGAAATATTTGTATATTGTTTATTGCTGTTTTTACCCTTTTATGGGGTAAATAATGCAGTAAAGGAGAAACAGTGAAAAAAAGAGACAAAATGCAGAAAATAAAAGGTAAAATGGCAGATTTAAATCCAACTATATAAATAATAGTTCAAAAAATCTAATCACAATTCAGAGATTAACAAATTGAATAAAAAGAGAAGATCTAACTCAAAAGATGTGTTTTAGATTCAAAGTTATAAAGAAGTTTGAAAATAAAAAATGGTGAAAGATATACAGTGGACCCTTGATTTACAAACTCAATTAGTTCCTGAGGGCTGGTTGTAACTCAAGTTGGTCAGTGAAGGCTCAGGCTCCTCTACACAGCCTTCAAAGTCTCTCCTTAGAGAGACATTGGCCCAGGATTTCTCAACCTCACTCAGGAAAGGTTGTTGTAATGTTTCTTCCAGAATTCTTTAACGATTAAATATGTATCTGAGACCATCTGGAAGCACAAGCAGCTGGCATTGGGGTCATAACTCAAGAATTTGGTGGTACGTTAAAACTAAAATTCCAGTCATAACCCAAGTTGTTCTTATGTCAGGATGGTCATAACTTGAGGGTCCACTGTATAATTCAAACAGCAACCATAAGAAAGCCGGGGTGCTATTGTTATATCAGACAAAAGGACTTTTAAAGAAACATTTTCCTAAGGACAAATGAGACATTTTATATTGAAAGTAGGATCAATTTATTAGGAAGATGTACTAATTATAAACTTGTATGCACTTTCTATATAGTTCCAGTATACACCAAGCCAAACCTTAGGATTGAAAGGATAAATAGACAAAATGATAATGATGATGATGATGATGATGATGATGATGATGATGATGATAATAGGCTTTAAAGCCAAATTATCAAAGTAGATAGAGGCCAGGCATGTTGGCACACATCTGTCATCCCAACGCTCCAGGAGATTGAGGCAGGAGGGTTGTAAGTTCAAGCCCAAACTGGGCAATTTAGCAACTTATATCTTGTCTCAAAATAAATAAATGAATAAATAAATAATTTTTAAATGTTGGGGGTATAGTTCAGTGCAAAGGCCCTGGGTTCAATCCCCAGTACTAAAAAAGTAGAACAAGTAGGGGGAAGATCAACAAGGAAACAGAAGATTTAAATAACATTATAAACCAACTAGACCTAACAAACTTAGAACACTCCTCTCAAAAAAGAGCAGAATATACATTCTTCCTGAGTGTGCATGAAGTCCTCCACGTGTTAAGCCATAAAGATGTGTAAAAATATTGATAAACACACATACGCAAAGATAAAAACAGTAAAATATTAATACACATTTTGACTCATAGAAATGTGAGAGACTGCAATGTTTTCTTTGCTTTTCTTTATTTGAAAATTTTCCTGTAATAAACACCTTATTTTACAGAGAAAAAAAAGTTATAAAAAATAACTGATAATTATGAAAAGGAGTAAATTTAGGAAGACAGAGGAACCTGCTGCATGTCATTTTGTCTTTGACCAACCCAAATACTGCCAATTTTTTTATACTTATACTTGAAGCCCTTCATAAGAAACCCCACTGGAGATGCTTCTCTTCCAATAGAGCTAGGTCCACCATTTTTATCTTCCTACTCTTCTGGCTTCTTGAGGAATTCTGACCACTCATAGAACATAGTAAAGAGCTGTAATCCATGTTCAGGTCCTCCTGGAGAACACGTGGTCATTGAGTAAGAAGCAGGAATACCGAGATCCCACATAAATTTTGCCAAGGTTTTGGTAAAGTAGGAAACTGGTCTGTACTAGCCCAGAATTCCCATACTTTTCAGTTTTGTACATTGACAAATTCTCAAACCGAATCTTAACAACTAGCAAGGAGCTGTTTTTGTTTAGTCAAGAAAGAACACTAAAGACATAACATAGCAAATAAAAAAGAAATGAACATATTTTCACTTTCTTTTCATAAAAGATAACTCTACAGTAATAGCTCTATACTCTCTATACTATTATACTGTAAGACAGTTATAATGTTAGCAGAATAATTTGACAAAATATGGGGGGAGGGTAGAGAGAGAGAGAGAAAGAGAGAGAGAGAGCAATTTACATCAGCCCACCACTTTGGAGCATGATAATCCTGAATGCAAATATGCCCTCAAAGAGCAGACCCAACCTTTCTTTATCCAAGTCTTCTCTCATTTTTTAATGCTCTCATGTTTGGCCAGTTCTTGTTCTTTATTTTGGTCATACTTGGTGAATATTGCCTCAATATCCATATCAATAGGACCTCTCCTATAATTATTGAGAGGGCGGAGATGAACTCATCCTGTACATGATCTAACCTGATCACAGAGGCGTCAAAATGCAGACTGACAGGAGAGATTGCTGAATGGCACCAGTCCTCTTCTCACAGTATGCTCCAGAAAGACACCTGCCTCTAGAAAAAGTATTTCTCTATGAGTACTTGGGCTAGAAACATGCTGGCACCAACAATTTGTGTTTAGAAGCAGGGACTTTCTGCAGCCTCAGGAAGTGTGACTCTTACCCTTCAAGATTTTGCTGCAGTTCATCAAAGTTTAACTTGCCTTCCCCTTGCCACAGACTCTTCAAGTCTTTATTGTATCCCTACTGAAAAGAAAGACTTTAGTTTATTATCTTCTTGTGTTTGTTATACTTTTCACAACTCCTTTCATAACTCAGTGCCTAATGGAAGTGGCTGTTCTACAAGTGTATGTTAAGTGAATAATAAATGACATATTCTTGGTTTTCCATAAAAGAGTTATAATCTCAGAGAAGAATTTCGAACAAAAACGGACATGAAAATTTTATTCATTGTCTTTGTCTCCACATTTCACTATGACTATTGAACTCTGTCACTTATTGGCATTGTTCTCATTTTGTAGAAGGGTTATATAGAAAGAGTCAAGGTCTTTCAGTAAATTGAGGAAAACTGAGTGCCTGGGATTGTGCCTAGCAACACACACACACACACACACACACACACACGCACACAAGACACTTTTCTTTGCAAGATGGTGTAGTTCTGTAAAAGTGATCATGCCAGCTGAAATTTTGCTAGTGAATTAAATAATCAAAGGGAATTTTAAATTTAAACTGTATTTAAACTTTTTATCAAAATATTATTAAAACTTTTAGTATCAGTAACAAATTTATAGAAAAAGTAAATTTATATTTATTTAATGTACTGAAATCTAAAACTCTACAAACACTGAAAATTAAACTTCTTTAGTTGTAGAAAAGAAAAGCATCCAGAGTAGTTTAAACAATGCTTACTTTCTTCTCCTCATATAATTATTTCAACTTATCCCTTATAATACAAACTAAATGTATTTTCTATGCATTGGTGAACTGCCATATTCCATTCTAAATAAGAATCAGTTTTCAACATTTTTTCTTTTGCCCTTTCATTATTTTTTGTTAATTTTCTTTATTATGGTAAAATACATGTAATATAATTACCATATTGACAATTTTAAATATAAAGTTCAGTGTTGTGAAAAAAACCATGTTACTATGCAACCATCAACCCATCCACTTCTTCTCGTCTTGTAAAATCCAAACTCTGTACCCGTTAAACAAGAGCACTGTTT